TGTTGCCAGCACAACCTGCAAGCAATTAATCGAAATTTGAATACGGCTAGTAAGAATCTCCTCCCCCTTCTCTTCTTCGCCCTTTCTCCAGAACAGCAGAAAACATACCTAGACCACGAGAATATGTAATTTCCAAACAATCTTACTAGATTTTTGGTACTGCTGAGAAGTAGACACTTCCCCCCTCCCCCTGTCCTCGCCTCGAATGTAATTAAACTAAATTTTTCTATCCTGGACCACATACTTTTAATTTTTACCCGTCATATGCGTATGTCTACCAGTACCATCTCTAAAGCAGATTTTCCAATGGTTTTGCTTTTCCGCGAGCACTACAGACTGATGAGCCAGGTCTTCTAATCAATGCTCAAGCAAATTACGGATCCTAATAAACGGATTTACTTCTTTTTTCTGATCATCATAATATTCTTGCTGCTGCCCATTTGTTGAAGAATAAAAAAATTCTCCTTTACCTCCGCTCCGAAACGTCTTGTAAACATAATTATGCTGTACTGGAAATTATGTGGATCAAATTAAAATCCAAATCATATTTATTTTGATCATTTTTCTGCAAATTTTTTCGAGATTTTTAATAACCTTATAATCAGCAGTATCTTCCTTGCTGGCACTGGGAATTTCCAACGCATACTTATTATCATCAATTTTGATCGGCTTGACTTTATCGCTCGATGTAATTTCTTTGCCATTTTTGTACCTAAAAAACATTAGATTTTGTGACTTTTCCAGTCGGAAATCACCAATAGCTTGATTTCAAGCAACTCTCTAGAGAAACGCTATCGATCTTTGCCTATGTACATGGCTTCAGCAACCAATCGGCCTTTCAGCGACTTCTGCCTTTTACAACGAATGAGTATCGAGTGTTAATTTGCTATGAGAATTATGAGGCCGGTTTAACACGTGTCATAGATGGAAAAATAGCAGCTGATAACAACAACTAGAAAAAAGTGCAGATAGAATCAAATCCTACCATTTCACAGATTTTGGTGGCGCACTGACTTCCACGCCGAGCGCAACCTTATCGCCAACTTTAGCTTCCTGGTCTTCCAAGCCTTTCGTAATTGTTAATGTTGGAAGTGTCACTGTCAGAGCACAAGATGAATCAACGGTTTCATCATCCTCACCTGTTAGCACCACCTGTAATGAATATTTTTTAGTATAAGAAAAAGAATATAGCTCGCTGGATAAAGTCAAAAATTTTTTGAAGGTCTGAAAACTCCACTTCGCGGGTTAGGTAACTTTTTAATACTACCTATCAGCAATGAAAATCTTTCCCGAACATTTTTCGAAAACATGTTCACTGCTGAGGTCAGCAGTGAGGTGAAACGTGGTTGTGGCAGCAAGGGAAAGAAAGAGAGAATAGGAGTTAAGCGGGAGTTAGCCCACTGTCGCAGATTTAAAGGACATCAGTTTAGAAGCTCCGAATTAAAAGTAAAAGTTTCCACAAGAGGATTCAGGTATCCCAAGGCAAAAAATAACCTGGATATTATTTTGTCATCCGAGTAAAAACCAGTAAAGAAAACGGATCAAACCTTATAATCAGCCGTATCATCTTTGCTGGCATCCGGGATCTCCAATTCATATTCGGTGTCATTAACTTTCCTTGGCTTAGCTTTATCGCTTGGTTTAATCTCTTTACCGTTTTTGTACCTAAATCAGGAAATTTTTTAACATCAAATTATTTTCCATTCGAAAACAAACATGATA